AGGACAGTGTGTTTCTTGTAGGGCAATCAAATGTGGATTGAGTTCTTTGCGGATTAATTCGAGATCAATATTATTGTTAACGAAACCTTTTATGTTCCATTGCAAAATATTGAATCTGTTGATCATTTGCATGGAGACAGCTTCCAGCCTTGGAAATTTGAATTTACTAGGTTAAAACTCTGCATTTTTTCGACCCGAAGCTGAGAGAATTCAGTTGACTACCATGGTACTGTTGATTTCCTGTGTGGGCGTGTTTGCGGAATGTGTAGGTTGGCAGCGAGGCGAAGGGATAAGTTGGGAAGCATCTCTGTTTATGTGTTTGGTGAAAGCTCTTTTTTCTAATTCTTCATCGGCGGTCTTTGCAAAATTCACCCAGTCAGCTTTGTGCTGGACAAACTTGGGTATAACCGGCTGCGTGCAGTGCGTGTTCGAGACTGTTATTGTTGTTTTCATCGGAAAATGATCGCTGTTGTGTAGGTCCGATAGTGTGTGGCAAGAAGTGATTGGGAGTAGGGATGCGGAGCAGCAAGCGACGTCTACATGTGTAAGTGTGCCGTGCGTAGATACATAGGTGCGTGGGTTGTTGGCCATTCAGGATGCATAGGTTTTTTTGAGAGATCGTATTTTCGAAGAATATTCTTCTGGCGTTATTAGTTCGTGAGCCCCACAGCGTATTCCAGCTGTTGATATCGCCTACCAATATAACAGGTTTATGGTAATTTTGTAGTAAGTTATCTATATCTTTTTGATTTGGTGGTATATATAAGGAGATTACTGAAAAATTTAAGTTCAGTGTAACATCAATACATATATTTTGGAGAAGCAATTGGAGTGTGCTTATGTGGTATGTTCGATTTAATCAAGATTCCGACTCCGTGCTTAGCGTATGTGTGTGGGTTATTGTTGTAGTATGCTGTGTAGTTCTTCGGAGGAATAGGGTTGAAGCCAATAGGACAGTGTGTTTCTTGTAGGGCAATCAAATGTGGATTGAGTTCTTTGCGGATTAATTCGAGATCAATATTATTGTTAACGAAACCTTTTATGTTCCATTGCAAAATATTGAATCTGTTGATCATTTGCATGGAGACAGCTTCCAGCCTTGGAAATTTGAATTTACTAGGTTAAAACTCTGCATTTTTTCGACCCGAAGCTGAGAGAATTCAGTTGACTACCATGGTACTGTTGATTTCCTGTGTGGGCGTGTTTGCGGAATGTGTAGGTTGGCAGCGAGGCGAAGGGATAAGTTGGGAAGCATCTCTGTTTATGTGTTTGGTGAAAGCTCTTTTTTCTAATTCTTCATCGGCGGTCTTTGCAAAATTCACCCAGTCAGCTTTGTGCTGGACAAACTTGGGTATAACCGGCTGCGTGCAGTGCGTGTTCGAGACTGTTATTGTTGTTTTCATCGGAAAATGATCGCTGTTGTGTAGGTCCGATAGTGTGTGGCAAGAAGTGATTGGGAGTAGGGATGCGGAGCAGCAAGCGACGTCTACATGTGTAAGTGTGCCGTGCGTAGATACATAGGTGCGTGGGTTGTTGGCCATTCAGGATGCATAGGTTTTTTTGAGAGATCGTATTTTCGAAGAATATTCTTCTGGCGTTATTAGTTCGTGAGCCCCACAGCGTATTCCAGCTGTTGATATCGCCTACCAATATAACAGGTTTATGGTAATTTTGTAGTAAGTTATCTATATCTTTTTGATTTGGTGGTATATATAAGGAGATTACTGAAAAATTTAAGTTCAGTGTAACATCAATACATATATTTTGGAGAAGCAATTGGAGTGTGCTTATGTGGTATGTTCGATTTAATCAAGATTCCGACTCCGTGCTTAGCGTATGTGTGTGGGTTATTGTTGTAGTATGCTGTGTAGTTCTTCGGAGGAATAGGGTTGAAGCCAATAGGACAGTGTGTTTCTTGTAGGGCAATCAAATGTGGATTGTGTTCTTTGCGGATTAATTCGAGATCAATATTATTGTTAACGAAACCTTTTATGTTCCATTGCAAAATATTGAATCTGGTGATCATTTGCATGGAGACAGCTTCCAGCCTTGGAAATTTGAATTTACTAGGTTAAGCCTTAGAACTAAGTTTCGTGGGATGGTGATTTTGTTTCTGATCTCGGGATATGGTATTCGTTGTGGTTAATGAGTTGTTGGGTAAGATTAGAAAGTGGTGACTGGGTGGAGCTTTCGCAGGTTGTCAAAACAAGGTGCGGCTATAATTTTTTCGACCGCTGTATGTATGTACATATGTGGGTGCATATATATATGTACAAATATGCAGGATTCACAGTGGGAGAAATGGCGAAGAAGCTGGCCAATATTCCAAAAATCAAAGGTGTCCGACTGTTGCAAAACATGGTAATTTGTCAAGAGGAAGGTCCATTACGTAGTGGGTGAAAAGTATAAGGTTTTAGGTATCTTGTACACTAGAGCAGTTTGAACTTGCTATTCGCACTAAAGTTTGTGCTGCTTTTCTCATTGACTCTAAAATTTTGGTTCAGAAAACTGATTTTAAAATAGTGGTTAAATTACTTAGTTGTTTTTTTTTTGCGAGATAGAGAGCGTTTCTGACTTCTTAAATAATCTAAGACAGTAAATTAAAATTTTTGGCACAAATAATTAAATTTGACACAAAAAATTAATTGTAAAAACTGTCTCAAAAAAATATAAGAATATTTTTGTATATGATTATCATTATCAAGGAAATGGTCTGTTATTTATTTATCCAAGAAAATATGAAACTTTCGTTCACATTTATCTGTAGCGCAATACTTTCGCTTTATTTTAATATATCAAATTTTATTTTCTGAAAACCTGTTACCTCATATAACCCATTTCATGCGTACCGATTTGGAGTGAACCATGCTTATTTGCGGGCCAGATCTGTCAATTTGTCGTATTTTAGTTAAGTTTTCCACCAATCGAGAGGATTTTCACAGAGATGAGCTCGTGTTTCTTTAAGATAGGCCTTCAATTGAGCTTCATTTTCACATTTTTTAATGTCTCCAGATTCTACATCCGAGCCTTCGCTTTCGCTGGAGGAATCTATAATTATTTCTAGGTTGCTTATAAGACTTTTAGCAGTACTTGTTGAAGGCCCATCAATGTTGCTTGATATACATCCTACTTAACCGTTTAGCACCTGAAATTAAAAGCCGGTTATTGTTCGCACCCTGATTAGACAGACTTAGAGCCATTTCAACAATATTAAAGTGGACTCTCTGCCCATGTATACATTCGCATTCGCAAAACATTCGTATCATTTGATGCGAATGCGAATGTCGAATGCGAATGTGTAAAATGAATCGGCCATGAACGATATTCAGTAAATATTTATTATCCACTGATTCATAGCTTGTATCTTGCTGATTTTTTCCATGATAATAGTTGAATAGACACGCTTTAGCCTGATTGTTTTAATTTTTCAAATAATCATTTTGTACAAAGTTTTTAATTTTTATAAACAAATGGAAATATTTATTACTTCACGATCAGATTTTTTAATAGTTTACATTGAATATCAATCCTTTTTCTATAATATATTATTTAAAAGAAAAAAAAAACGGAAACTTTCATGCAGTCGAAAGTTATACATTTCTTTCGCTCGCTTCGCATCATGCGCTTCCCGGAGGATCGTGTTGAACTCGTTTTATGTAAATCTAAATAATTATACAGGGTGGCGACGAAAAACTTTCGCACAGTTTCTTTTAAATAAAAGCGTCCTTTGTAAAGTAAACTTTATACAGAGTGAAAATCTCTCAAGTGGGCCACCCAAAATTGGACGGTCAGGATTTTTACGCACAAATCACTTTATTCGGTTTACAACCATAAAAAAATAATACAAATTGAGCAATTTTGCAAAATTGAAAGTTTTACAAGAGTTATTGTTATTAACTTTTTTTTAATGAATTCAGTAATTCTTTACTATCCACTGATTGATAGCATGTATCTTGCTGATTTTTTTTTTTCATGATAATAGTAATTAGACACGCTTTAGCCTGATTGTTTTAATTTTTCAAATAATCATTTTGTACAAAATTTTTAATTTTTATAAAATCCTTGTATAAACAAATGGAAATATTTATTACTTTTCGATCAGATTTTTTAATCGTTTACATTGAATATCAATCCTTATTCTATAATATATTATTTAAAAAGAAAAAAAACACGGAAACTTTCATGCAGTCGAAAGTTATACATATTTTTCGTACAGTTTTTTTTGTAAATAAAAGCGTCCTTTGTTTTTCACTGTAATGAATTTCAACCTCACGTTTCCATGTATTTTACATACACAAACATTGTGAGTCCCCGATTGGCCTGCTAAAACACATTCTTGGGTTCGAAGTCGACTTAATGTTGATACGGATATTTCAATATCGGGAAATAGTTTTTTAAATTTTGTATGCAATTCAATAGGCTTGAACAATAGCAATCTTTTTTGCCCTTGAATACGTTTTTTAAAACAGATTTAAAATCATATCTGCCTGGCATTGCCCGACTAAATAATATCCTCAGATAAATAAAATTGCTCGATTTTGTCGATGACCGCTTTTTCTAGTGGTCGACCAATTTTCGGTTGCAAATAGGGGAAACTTTCTACTTTCGGAACAATTTCGTGCTAATAGAAATTTTTTTCTGATATTAAGTTGGCCATTTCTAATAGATTTTGTCCTGAAATCATATCTGAAAAATATGTATAGCATTTTAAAACACGTCTCTTGTCCTTCCACAAACCGCACAGTGTGCTTTTTGAACACTGCATGCGAATTAATCGTAGCGCTTTCGACAGAAGCAGCATTTTGATACGAAACAAAATGGCCTTGAAAGCTAAAGTAAACCCCTTTCACGAAAAAATATTGCCATTGAGCCACAATTACGCCTTGACCTTAAAAAAATTGGTCAAAAGTAGTGTTCTTCGAAAAAAACATGCAAAATCCACGGATGCGCGTTGCTCCGCCACGAATGTATGCATATGGTCAAAAATTTGGGTACGAGGAAAGCGGTGAGAAAAATTTTTCTTTGAATCACGCGTCAACTCTGACATATTTTGTTAATATACATCGTATAGTATCTAGAAATAATTGTTGATTTATATTCAGTTATGTGTGATTCAGGGTACTTTAATTTCTCTTGTGCTTCCTGTGCGTGCGATAAAAATGGAGAATATAGTCAACCCGCACAAAAAGGTAAAAATATTAATATCTTACTAATTTTTCGATACTAAAGCTGGTCTTCGGTAAGATAAAGTATTTTTGAAATATACCAATGCAAATTTAGTGGAAATTTTTTTTTCTTCGTGAGTTTGATCATTCTGAAATGTTTCTCCGATAATCGTGTAACGTTAAAGACCAAATATAAGAAAAGCCGTTATTGTGCAAAACCGAAATGCAGAAAAGGTGTAATAAATACATATTTTTTCGTAGATTTCAATCATGTATAGAGGGACATAGTTATTGATATCTGACCGCTATCGTTTTGCAACGTTTTAGTATTGAATTTATGTCCCTTTAAGCTTTTTCTTTGATTCTTCCACGCTTTTCCGTGATTTCTTCCACTGTGGGATGGTAAAAATTAGGGAATTTTATTATGTATATTCAACATACATACACATTAGCGATGTTTCGAATGTCATATTTTGCACATTCGCTAACGGAAAGTGACTGTCTGAATGCGAATGTTAGGAATAACATTAAAAAAGCTATAATCAACTGAAGTCATCTTTTTATTACTTACAAATTGTGTATATTATTATAACATTGAACGAGTGCTCAACCCATACAAAACTATCGATGGCACTATGGATGGTATCGATGGAACTCACTATCGCAACTATCGATGGCGACCACTATCGGCCATATTTGAAGTTCGATACTATCGATACTATTGAGGAATTGTCACATCTATGTATGATTTTTATGCACCATATCTAGTATGGTCATACGCGTTTGTGTGAAATATTTTATTAGTAATACCCGTACATATAGTGTAAATATGGACAAATATCTAACTCATAATGTAAAAGGTAACGTGTTTTTTATGGATATATTTGTATTGCATGCGTTTCATTATATGTAGTAACCGTTACAAAAAACAATGCAAGTGTAGAATGCTTGTGTTCTTCCGAAAGTGAAGAAGAGCGTGGCGGCAAAAGAGCAAAGCCCAAAATATCTTCGGTATAGTTGAACATTTTTCTTTTGTTTCTTTAAAGCTTATTAAATTTTTATAAAAGCCCAGATAATAGTCTAACGAAAACCATGTAAATCCAAATTTCAAACTTTGTGCAACAATTAATAAAATGCCTCACAGTTTCACCGAAATTTCAAACTTTGGAATCAGAATTTTGAGAAAAATGTTTGGTATGGAATTTTATAGTCCATTAAATTTTAGTATAATAAACAGTGTCACGCGTTTTCTTCTATACAAAGACATTCGTTTTTAAAATGGAAGAAAATGCGTGACACCGTTAGCAAAAAAACTGTCAAAAATCAACGAGATTCTTTACAGGCTAACCTAATATTCACGCACGCCGCCAATTTATTGTCAAAAATTTCTCATGCACATGCAACTTGTATGAGATCAACCGAAATTGAACGGCGTGCGTATGAAGCTAACTCAATTTCCAATTTTTGTTCTGCGTGACATTTTGATTTGACGTTTCGCTCAATGAAATCAAATGCAAACGCATGCAAGTCAATTTCGGGTGACGCAAAAAAACAAATTCGACGGCATGCGTACCAAAACGCAAGCCGCGAATATTAGGTTAGCCTGTTAGCAACTTGAAACCTGCAATTTATTATATTATTTTTATTTAAAGAAATTAATTAATATAACCTTCAAACGTAAAATTTACATGCCAGTTTGTTGCACTCAAATTAAAAAAATTCGTTCACACTATCGATACTATCGATGGCAGCGCACAATCGATAGTGACCGAAAAAACTATCATCAACTATCGATGGTGTTCACTATCTACCACCACTACCATACAGTGTTTTAATCTAGTAGTCAAAGTTCAAAAGGGGCATATTATATTTCAAAAAAAGTAAATTTGCCGGCTTTTCTCCCATGAGGCGATTTCTTAGAAGGTCGTATATTCGGCCGGTTGCACTGAATAATTGCTCACTTGGAACGCTGGCGGGTGCAGCGCTCAAATAAGTATGGTTCACTGTAAATCGGTACGCGTTCCTGCAATTCCTGTACCGCAATTGTTGAAATGTATTAAACAATTTCAATGCAGGTCGTTAGACAATAGATGTACCATTATGAGGTTTAAATTTTATAGTACTGGCTTTTAATTTGACAGTTTTATTCGCGTTGGAAATGACTGCTCAAAAAATAATGTTGAACAAATTCGTTGAAAATCCGACATTTTCGAGAACAAAAATTAAATTAAAATTAAAGATACCAAAACCTTCTAATTTTTCTCCAAAAATCAATGGATGGATTCCTTCTGCTTAAATTAACGGAGTAAGCTAATCATTAAAAAAACATCATTTCGCACCAGCATACGAATAAGCGTCTTTACCTCAATTAGTAAAAAAATCGGCTTATCAGAAGAAGATCGCGCGAGACAATTGGAACACGATTATCCACAATTCAGTAAATTCGAGTTATGACATAAAAGATTCAGTTAAATTAAATAAATTTAATAACAAAAACCGTACTCGTTTACTTTACCCCAATTTTCACACCAAATGTAGTATTTTATAATAAAGACTATAAAAAAATGTTTAAAACTTGACTTCGGTCAATTCCCACGTTGAAACTTTTAAGCTAAAAAGAAACAGGGTGATATCTTCTTAAAACTAAATTTATAGAAGTTGACACAGTTGTCAAAGGGCAATGCAATTTCGAGAGAATCGAGGCAGAAATATGCGGGAAGGAGCCCTTGCACAAAGTGTTAAGTAATTGTACCATTTACTTTAGACCTTCAGTAAAGTTTTGTTTAGTTTTAATAAAAGTTAATTATTCACAGGTAGCTTTAAACCGGTTTATGTGAATAAAGTTCTGCAAGTCATCAATTTAAGGACATGTCCTATTTAGCAGGGATGTGAACCGGTTTTGAACCGAACCGGGTTTGAACCGGAAAACCGCTTTTTTCTATTAATTAACTGAACCATTAACCGAACCGAAATTTTCAACAAATGTTTGATCCGAACCGAAAACCGAACCACTTTCTTTAAAGGTTTAAAGGTTCGTTTCGACCAATTTTCAATAGATAAATGTACCCACTTTTTTCGTTTTGTTAAACATGGTAATACCTACCATGTTTTTTTACCATGTGACAATATCAAATGTAAAGGCAGCCCATCTCACTTGACCCTTAACCTTGCGCGTTGTTGCACTTGACAATTGACACTTAAATTTGCGCGTTATTTTTTGGTTTTTCGAACCGTTGAACCGAACCGAAACCCCGGTTCAAAGACCAAAAAACCGCTTTGACGAACCAATCCAAAAGTGCAACAACGGTGAGAACCGCTGAGAGAGATGAGCTCGTGTTTCTTTAAGATAGGCCTTCAATTGAGTTTCATTTTCACATTTTTTAATGTCTCCAGATCAGTGCTGTCGTTTTGACTACTATAGTAGTTTTTTACTACCTTCAGAACATTTGTACTACTTGACTACTCCTCTGCTCAATGTACTACTATTTAAATTTTTTAGTGCCAAATTGTTTTTTGTTTTAAAAATATGCTTCCTTATCCTGAGTTTCGCCCAAAAAAAAATTCACCCGAAAATTTATCATCCGCCCATAGTAAATACATGGAAACCAAAAGTGAAAAGTGAACCGGTTCGGGGAAAATGAAACTCATGATAAGGCTGATGGTAATATAGAACAATTGCAACCAGTGTGGCAGCCTTGTCCGTTCACTATTTTACAGGAAAATGTGTAAGATGTTTGTCTCGCTCTTATGAACAATACACATATGTTTTGTTTTATTCTTCGCAGTAAATTTGTGTGTATGTCAATAAATTTTACAGTTATCTTAAAGTGTGCATTGAAAAGAAATTTCGCAATTGAAGTTTAAAAATTTTAAAGGGCATTACAAATAGTTTATTAGCTGGAGCTCTATATTTAAACATATTCGCAATATGGAAAAGTGAGTAGCTAACATTTCATGTATTAATAAAACCTTTAATACAAAATGAAAATTTTCTTTATTAGATATCTTCAAAAAAGTTCCAAGAATACCAATGGTGTTGAAGGTGTACAAGATGTAGAAATGGCAGATGTTCAATGTGAAAATTCAAATCAGGCACCTGAAGTCGCTAAAAGCAGCAAGCGTCGAAATTTGTTTCTTGCAAAGTGGAAAGACAACTATAATTGGGTTGATGAAAAATCAGGCGGCGCTTACTGTAAATATTGTGAGATAAAACTTCCTAATAACATTTGTCATTTGATGCGCCACGAAAAGTCGTTTAGGCATAAAAAATCACTGGATTCGTTAAAAAACCAGCCTAAAATTTTAACATCCACCCAAACATTTCAAAGGCAAAATGACTTAGTTAAAGTGGCAGAATTACAAATTATCATGTTTTTAATACAACATAATTTACCGTTTGCTTTAATTACACCATTGGTTTTATTGATAAGACATATTGCGAGTGACTCAGAAATTTGCAAAAAACTCAAAATTGGAAAAACAAAGGCAACTGAAACAGTCAAGACCGCAATTTTTCATGAAGCACGCAAAGATATTATTGATATCTTGCAAAATCAAACCTTTTCTATGATAATTGACGAGACAACTGACATCTCAACATCAAAATGCTTGGCGATCGTGGTTAGATATTTTGATAAAACGAGCTTGAAAGTACGGGACAGGTTCTTAGCTTTAATTGAACTGGCCAAATTTGATGCTTGTACGTTAGTTCAAGAAATTAGAAAACTTTTTAAGAGTATAAATGTTCCTTTGAAAAACTGCCTTGGGTTCGCAAGTGATAACGCGTCTGTTATGGTGGGCAAAAGAAAAGGTATTGCGGCACTTTTACGTGAAGATAATCCCAATTTGTTTTCAATTGGTTGCACATGTCATTCTATACATCTTTGTGCTTCTGCTGCGGGAAAGGTTTTGCCAGCTGGTCTGGAAATTCTAACAAGAAATATATATTTATATTTTGCCCATAGTGCCAAAAGGCAAGTTGAGTTTAAAGAATTTCAAGAATATTTTTCTGTAAGCCGTCACAAAATTCTTAAAAAATCTATTACAAGATGGCTATCAATGGAACAGGTTGTTTCCAGGATTTTAGAACAGTGGACCCCTCTCCAACACTATTTTCTACAAGAAAATTTTGATTCTTCTGAAAACAATGATTTGGCTTTGAAAGTTAAAGAAGAATTAAATGACGATAACAAATTTTTGTTACTGTTTTTGAGTTACGTTCTTAAATTACTTAACAATTTAAACTTGGAATTTCAGACTGAAGCAACAAGAATTCATGTGTTGCTTATTCATGTAAAAACGATTTATAAAACTATTTTAAGTAACTTTTTAGACATAAGTTCAAACATTGATGTATTTACTATTGATTTTAATAACACCGACGATTTTAAACCTGCTAAAGATATATATTGCGGTCCCAAGGCAGAACTATTTTTAAAGTCACGAAATTTGTCTGATGAACAAACCATTGCTCTAAAAAAATATTGCATGAAATATTACGTTGTGCTGTGCAAAGAAATATGTAAACGAGTAAACTTTAAGGATCCGGTTTTGTTAGCTCTTCAAGGCATTAACCCTGAATCTTTGGCCGAAACTACAGCAGAAATCGCCTCAGTGTTCCCAAATCTAATTACAGAAGAAAATATTGAAGGAATTGATTTCGAATGGAGATTGTTGAAAAATCAGCAAATAGTGTCGAAAGAATTGGAATTAGAAAATTTTTGGTCTGCTGTTTTTAAGCAAAAAAATGCATTGAACGAACAGTTGTTTCCCAAATTAGCAATATTAATTTCAAATATCCTTTGTTTACCACATAGTAGCGCAACAGCTGAGAGAGTTTTTTCTCAACTGTTTTTAATTAAGGATGAAAAACGTAACTGCCTATCAACTGAAACAATAAATTGCATAATGGCTTGTAAAGAAATTCTTAAAAATTGTAACTGTTACGAATGGAAACCATTAAAAAGTACTTTACAGGCTTATGTAAAACAGTAATTTTTATTTACCAAATAATTTTTAATAACTATAATTCTGCACATGTGTTAGTTTTAATNTATTTTCTGAAAACCTGTTACCTCATATAACCCATTTCATGCGTACCGATTTGGAGTGAACCATGCTTATTTGCGGGCCAGATCTGTCAATTTGTCGTATTTTAGTTAAGTTTTCCACCAATCGAGAGGATTTTCACAGAGATGAGCTCGTGTTTCTTTAAGATAGGCCTTCAATTGAGCTTCATTTTCACATTTTTTAATGTCTCCAGATTCTACATCCGAGCCTTCGCTTTCGCTGGAGGAATCTATAATTATTTCTAGGTTGCTTATAAGACTTTTAGCAGTACTTGTTGAAGGCCCATCAATGTTGCTTGATATACATCCTACTTAACCGTTTAGCACCTGAAATTAAAAGCCGGTTATTGTTCGCACCCTGATTAGACAGACTTAGAGCCATTTCAACAATATTAAAGTGGACTCTCTGCCCATGTATACATTCGCATTCGCAAAACATTCGTATCATTTGATGCGAATGCGAATGTCGAATGCGAATGTGTAAAATGAATCGTTCATGAACGATATTCAGTAAATATTTATTATCCACTGATTCATAGCTTGTATCTTGCTGATTTTTTTCATGATAATAGTTGAATAGACACGCTTTAGCCTGATTGTTTTAATTTTTCAAATAATCATTTTGTACAAAGTTTTTAATTTTTATAAACAAATGGAAATATTTATTACTTCACGATCAGATTTTTTAATAGTTTACATTGAATATCAATCCTTTTTCTATAATATATTATTTAAAAGAAAAAAAAACGGAAACATTCATGCAGTCGAAAGTTATACATTTTTTTCGCTCGCCTCGCATCATGCGCTTCCCGGAGGATCGTGGTGAACTCGTTTTATGTAAATCTAAATAATTATACAGGGTGGCGACGAAAAACTTTCGCACAGTTTCTTTTAAATAAAAGCGTCCTTTGTAAAGTAAACTTTATATTTCGCACAAATCACTTTATTCGGTTTACAACCATAAAAAAAATAATATAAATTGAGCAATTTTGCAAAATTGAAAGTTTTACAAGAGTTATTGTTATTAACTTTTTTTTAATGAATTCAGTAATTATTTACTATCCACTGATTGATAGCATGTATCTTGCTGATTTTTTTTTCATGATAATAGTTAATTAGACACGCTTTAGCCTGATTGTTTTAATTTTTCAAATAATCATTTTGTACAAAATTTTTAATTTTTATAAAAACCTTGTATAAACAAATGAAAATATTTATTACTTCTCGATCAGATTTTTTAATCGTTTACATTGAAGATCAATCCATATTCTATAATATCTTATTTAAAAAGAAAAAACACGGAAACTTTCATGCAGTCGAAAGTTATACATATTTTTCGCACAGTTTTTTTTTGTAAATAAAAGCGTCCTTTGTTTTTCATTGTAATGAATTTCAACCTCACGTTTCCATGTATTTTACATACACAAACATTGTGCGTCCCCGATTGGCCTGCTAAAACACATTCTTGGGTTCGAAGTCGACTTAATGTTGATACGGATATTTCAATATCGGGAAATAGTTTTTTAAATTTTGTATGCAATTCATTAGGCTTGAACAATAGCAATATTTTTTGCCCTTGAATACGTTTTTCACAACCGATTTAAAATCATATCTGCCTAGCATTGTCCGACTAAATAATATCCTCAGATAAATAAAATTGCTCGATTTTGTCGATGAAAGCTTTTTCTAGTGATCGACCAATTTTCGGTTGCAAATAGGGGAAACTTTCTACTTTCGGAACAATTTCGTGCTAATAGAAATTTTTTTCTGATATGAAGTTCGCCATTTCTAATAGATTTTGTCCTGAAATCATATCTGAAAAATATGTACAGCATTTTAAAACACGTCTCTTGCACAGTGTGCTTTTTGAACACTGCATGCGAATTAATCGTAGCGCTTCGACAGAAGCAGCATTTTGATACGAAACAAAATGGTCTTGAAAGCTAAAGTAAACCCCTTTCACGAAAAAGTATTGCCATTGAGCCACAATTACGCCTTGACCTTAAAAAAATTGGTCAAAAGTAGTGTTCTTCGAAAAAAACATGCAAAATCCACGGATGCGCGTTGCTCCGCCACGAATGTATGCATATGGTCAAAAATTTGGGAACGAGGAAAGCGGTGAGAAAAATTTTTCTTTGAATCACGCGTCAACTCTGACATATTTTGTTAATATACATCGTATAGTATCTAGAAATAATTGTTGATTTATATTCAGTTATGTGTGATTCACGGTACTTTAATTTCTCTTGTGCTTCCTGTGCGTGCGATAAAAATGGAGAATATATTCAACCCGCAGAAAAAGGTAAAAAATTAATATCTTACTAATTTTTCGATACTAAAGCTGGTCTTCGGTAAGATAAAGTATTTTTGAAATATACCAATGCAAATTTAGTGGAAATTTTTGTTTTCTTCGTGAGTTTGATCATTCTGAAATGTTTCTCCGATAATCGTGTAACGTTAAAGACCAAATATAAGAAAAACCGTTATTGTGCAAAACCGAAATGCAGAAAATACATATTTTTTCGTAGATTTCAATCATGTATAGAGGGACATAGTTATTGATATCTGAACCGCTATCGTTTTGCAACGTTTTAGCATTGAATTTATGTCCCGTTAAAGACCGTTTACATCTAAAAAATACTAACCTATTTTAAACTTCGACAACTCTTGAAATACTGTGCAGAAACCGCTCAACCGGGCTCAAATCATTCAAATTTACATTGCAAAATTAAAGAGCTATGATAAGTAAAGAAAAAATGGCGGTTACCATGAAAAAACTACGAGACGCAACAAAAGCGAAAGAAATACAGTTGTCAAACAACGAGCGCGATCGCGTCATTGCAAAGCGTCCTGAAGCAACACGTAAACGAGTGAGAAAATGTAGAGAAAGAAAAAGGGAATGAAACACAATCTTGTGATGCAACTTAATCTATAAGTAGCAGCTATAGCAATTTGCCTCCTGTTAAAAAATTTAGTTCAAATTATTTAATAAGTTAAATAAATTATTAAAAGATGGGTATCAACCGAAAAGGGGTTTGAAAGGGTTGATTTCTTACCTACATGTAGGAGGGTTGCCATATGTTTAAAATGATCAAATTCCATTTAAATTTAGGGAATTAGAAGACTGAAATATATATCACCATATATATATGGCAGTCTGACAAAAGAGGTTTAAGGTCATAGCTTGCAAATATTTTGAAGAGCGTCGCCAACTGTTTGCAAATGGAATTTAATCGATGTCGTCGGCATACGCCAGCAATAGTACGCTCTTGTAAAGTATTGTGCCTGAGCGGTTCAGTTCAGCGGCTCTTATTTTCTTTTCCAACATCAGATTAAAGAAATCCACCAAAGGGAGTCACCTTGTCTGAAACCTCGTTTGGTATCAAACGGCTCGGATAGGTCCTTCCCTATTCTGACGGAGCTGGTGGTATTGCTCAACGTCATTTTACACAGCCGTATTAGTTTCGCGGGGATACCAAATTCAGACATCGCGGCATAAAGGCAACTTCTCTTCGTGCTGTCGAAAGCGGCTTTGAAATCGACAAATAGATGGTGTGTGTCGATCCTATTCTCACGGGTCTTTTCCAAGATTTGGCGTATTGTGAATACCTTATCGATGGTCGATTTGCCAGGCCTCAAGCCACACTGGTAAGATAAGACCTATGCTTAGAAGGCTGATGCCGCGGTAGTTGGCACGAATGGCGGGGTCGCCTTTCTTGTGGATTTGGCAGAGCACTCTTAAATTCCAGTCGTCGGGCATGCGTTCATCTGACCATATTCTGTATAAGAGCTGATGCATGCACCTCATCAGCTCCTCGCCGCCGTCCTTGAATAGCTCGGCTTAAAGGCCGTCAGCTCCAGCAGCTTTGTTGTTTTTCAGCCGCGTAATCGCTATTCGTACCTCGTCATAGTCAGGCGGTGGGACAGCTACTCCATCATCATCGACTGGGGACTCGGGTTCGTCTTCCTCACTACTTTCAGCGCTGCTACCATTCAGTAGGTTATAAAAGTGTTCCCTCCACAATTTAAGTATATTCTGGACATCGGTCACTAGGTCGCCATTGTTGTTCTTACAGGAGTTCGCCCCGGTCTTGAAACCTTCCGTAAGTCGCCTAACTCTCTGATAAAATTTTCGGGCGTTTTTCGTGTCGGCCAGCATCTCACGCTATTCGCACTCACGTATTTCGGCCTCTCCTTATTGCGGCAAATACGTCTCGCTTCCTTCTTCAGTTACCTATAATGGTCCCACATGGCTCGTGTTGAGTCCGATCGCAGCGTGGCCCTATAGGCGGCGTCTTTTTTATCTGCGGCTTCTTGATATTCCTTATCGTACCAGTTGTCCTTTCGGGTTCGCTGAAATCCAACTACTTCTTTGGCGGCAGTACTTAATGATCGGGAAATGTGGTTCCACTGCTCGCGTATGTCGGATTGTTGAAGAGTGCTCTCAGAGAGCAGGTGTGTGAGTCGAGTGGCGAAAGCGCTGGCCGTCTGTTGTGATTGCAGCTTTTCGACGTCCCTTCGGCTTTTCTTGCTTTATTGGACTAGGGATGGAAAAATCGATTCCGATTCCACTCCGGAGTCTGAGACTTTCTCGAAATAATCGATTTTAGAGGGATTATAAATTTTCGGAATCGATCGAGGTCGATTCTAAGAACTCGATTTTCTTATTTTTCATACATTTTTAGATATGCGTCAGTTGTTAGAATTGTGAAATCGATTATAAATTTTCTGAATCGATCGAGAATCGATGCAAATTTATTTCCTTTCCATATCAAACACTACCGTGAATATGTTTCAATCACACATTTTATAGCAAATGAAGCAAGCTCTCCACAAATTTATTATTAAAGCTCTTGTTACAATAATTTTAATTGACTGATTATAATAGCTATGAATGATGGCTGTATAATTAGTCGTGTTTATAGATTTCTCAAGTGAAAGAAAGATGA